CTCGGCGTATAAGACGACCCCCGTCTTTGGCGCCAATTTCAGCGCTCGCGGAAGTCGTCTTATACACCGTCATTTACGGTAAGTAAAACAAATTTGAGTGCTTTGATATCTTGCTTTGGTACCTACAAAGCATGCTTGGAACAATCTTTGTCCCCGGCCCCCAGATATGATGGGCCCCAAAACTGCATGCTTTTAGAAAAATTGTTAAAAACTGTTAAAATCTTTCCCCTCAAGCATTTGTATCCCCATTTCATTGTCTAATTATCCTGTTTGGTTGCCATTTTATGTCATATATTTTTAACATTGTACGGTATTTTTCTTTGTTATTATCTGCTTCTAATGTATACCACCAAAAGTCACATTGAATTGAGAGGCCCTATAAATCCATTTACTAGACAAATATTTACTAAAGATGGATAAAAAAATGTTAAGAAAAACAAATCTTGGTAGAAATATAGTCAACGTATGTGGTCTATTGCAAGGACAGTTTATCAAACAAAGTGGAAATGGTTATGCTATGAGAACTTGTTTCTGTTCATTTTGTTATATGCAAGTCAGAGTTGGTTATATCAGGATGCTATGAAATGGGATTTATTTATTCTTCATACTTCTAGATCAGGGGTGTCAAACTGCCAGCCCGCAGGCTGGTTTCATCATACCAGAGCCACGCCCACCCCAGTGCCGGCAATGGCAAAATAGTCCCAATACATCTCGCGGCATCATGTGATGTCGTAAGTTTGACATGTCTGTTCTAGACTATATCACTTAAGTGGCTCCAGGTGGTTTAGAATAGAAAGTGTGTACAGTAAAAGAAAAATAAATGTTTGATTAGTTAATATGGATTGGACACAAAAGTAAATGATCTGTACAACAGTTCTATATTGAGAGAGTTAAGGTTAGGGCTAAAAAAGAAAAGTTAGCATATGAATTGGTGTACTGATGTAGTAGAAGCAAGTATTGTTTCCAAAAAGAAAAAGATAGAGAAATATAGTGAATAGTGTTGGTATAAATTAGATCTAGCTATGTTTCTTCTCTCCCCCCCCCCACCTTATCTCAGGCCTTTAATTTCTTTGGCTTAGCATTCCTTATTCCTTAGTCTACGCTCTCCGTAATGTTGTTTACTCAACATTCCTTACTTTCATATATATGAAAGATAGGGATAAATGATAGGAAGAAAAGCTGTAGTAAGATAAGAGTTACAGAAAATTGTGATTTACTGGAATACTATTATTCAACAATTTCCCCCCAAAGAGTATCGATAGAGTAAGATCTGTTACCGGGATCATATTCTATGCATGCCCTCTTTTATTATATTTAATTGTTGGATTACATCTACTTCATGCTGTAATTCTGGCTATGTTTAGTTACCATCCTAATGCAACCTCGCAGCTTAACTATTCTAACTTTACAGACTAAAACTCAGAGTTTCCTGAACCATAAGTTGGGCGGCAAATACATTTGACAAATAAATAAATAAAAATATTATTTGTCATAAATAACATGGTATAGTTTAATCATATATAACACTTTTTCTTTCTTCCAATTTTTTCATGTTATTAAAAAAATGAAAACAAAAAATGGAACTGTAGCCACTATGATTCAATGTAGTGTTTGAACAATACTACAAGAACAATTACTTTAAAAAGAAAAAATGTGTGAACCAATAACTATAGTATATTGATATTTTTTCCCCAAAGTATTCTCCACATAAGTTTACCAGCATAACCTCTGAAGAAACTACTGCCTCTCCTTTGCACAATGCAGGGTATTATAAATATGCTGCTGATATAAATCTTTCTAAAACCACACTGCCTTCTTCTGGACACAAATAGCACACAAATTTTTAAAGAACAAATTGAAAATTGCAGAAACATATCACCAGTTACCAGGAGACAAGCTCATTGTGAAAAAAATTCAGTTTACTACAAAAAATAAATTAATCTAACATTTATAAATTGTATCCAGTATATCAGATTGTACGGTAATTTGGTAATACAATTCACAGATTATAGTATACAGTTTTGGATTCTTCTTTATTTCCTTTCTACCACTTTGGATATCGAGGGATACACTTCTGGAATGTACTTAAGCAATATAATAAAATCATAGCAAGTACAATATATAATTGGGGACTTATATAATTGGGGAATGGTAGAAGGGAGAAATAAAAAGTGGTTAATCAGTGATCAACGAATTGACTAATATCATAACTTTGTAAAACTATGTACAATTATATTTATATACAATATTCCCTTTAATTTGTCTCTATAAACATCTGCTTATTCCAATAATTTTAATCATTCCAATACATTGTGCACCAATGTTTATGAGTCTCTTAGCAGGTAGAGAAAAAGCCAGTTCATGCAAGTTGTTACCTATAACGTGTTTCATATCGGTACTATCATTTGTGTAACTCCTTTTCCCCCCTCTTTTGGCACATCATTTAATACTCTCAAACCTAGGTTCAAATTTAGTCATGCTGAGCTAAATACTGTACGGAAATATTTGTTTAAACTACATTCTGAAGCAAACACTCCTAGTTTATTTTTCACAAACTGACTGGATCAGAACAGAAATATGCTTTACAATAATGGTTCTCAAAGTCTGGTCTGAGGACCACTGGGACTCCCTAATCCCTCTCGGGGATCCATAAAGTCTAATAATTTTAAATTTCTTACCTCTAATTTCTAATACAGTACATATTGATAAATATACGTAACTCATATAAACCAAAACTCTTTGCTATTTTTAAGGATATAAAAGCATTCTAAAACCAAAATGTTGATAACCACTGTTTTAGCTATCTATTAGGATGCATCTTTTTTCCTTTTATGTTGTTTGCAGCACAAATTTCTATATATAGAGTGAAAACTGCTTTCCAAATATGTCTAGTTGGGAAACATGTATGAAAATAAACATCAATATTAATGTCTTTCTTTAAACTGCAGGCTGATTTTGCAATTAGATAATAGTTTTGTGATTTGTAATCATTGCCTATAATCTGCAATCCTAGGACTGCCCTTGAGTTGTCCTTAAGGGACTTTATCAAATACATGGCAAAATAATCATATCAACTGTATCTAAGTAATGTTCTTTAAAAATAAATCAATTTAATTTGCATTCTGCCCCTATTTGTTCTTAATAGAAGTGCAACGCAGTGACAATTTTGTCAGAGAATGTATTTGAATACACATATTATGCAAAGCTGGTTTGGTTTGGTTTGAGGTTGATATGGTTGTATTTTAAGAACAAAACCATTATGAACCACAGTGTACAACTTGATGTACTGTCTCAACTCAACCTTTGGCTATTATGGTTATTCATTAGAAGATGTTTATTTCTGGTAACGAAACTAGAAGGCACCAAATGGAAAAGTGATTATCTCTGCCCAGTCAGAAAAAATCACTACATACAGTAACAACTTAACATGATGTAATCATTGACAATTTACTATTATCAATGAATACTATACTGCCAAAATTAAGAATATAAAGAATTTTATACTTCACTTTCCTTTCCATTAATAAATCTTAGTCAAGACACATGTTCCTACTATTTCAAACATCAGATATTTACTATTAAGAAGACCAAAGTGATAGCACATTTTTAGCCAGCCTTAAGCTTCAGAGCAATGTTTTATAGCAAAAATATTGTGGAAGATGATTAATAACCTGATATCACATTATAATACAGGTAGTCCTCAATTTACAACAGTTCATTTAGTGACCGTTCAAAGTTACAAAGGTACTGAAAAAAGTGGCGACTGTTTTTCACACTTATGACCGTTGCAGCATTCTCACGGTCATGTGATCAAAATTCAGATGCTTGTCAACTGACTCCCATTTATGACAGTTGCAGTGTCCCAAGGTTCATACAATGAATATTTGTTAAGTGAAATTTGCCCCATTTTACTATCTTTCTTACCACAGTTAAGTGAATCATTGCAGTTGTTAAGTTAGTAACATGATTGTTAAATGAATTTGGCTATAGTGATCTGAGAAACAAAGTCAATGGGGAAGCCAGATTCATTTAACAAATCACGTTTGTTCAAATTGCACGATCTCAGAAGTTTCGAAGTTTCGATTCTGTGTTGGGAGAAAACTGGCCAAGGCACTGTCCAGACGCGCATACATTTAAAGAACTAACTTTGTTTATGCCACTTTTAATCGGGCTGCGGCTCAGGTTAACTTATTTTAGTATATTATATTTAGCATATATTTAGTATATATAGCTTTTCTAGTTCACAAACTATAATTTACTGCCTAGCCAACTGTAGGATGCCACCCAATAATGGTTTAGTTTATAAACTATGATTAAGGAAACCCCAGCGACAAAGTGGAGCGTAAATACGACCGACCGTAGGCGACCATCTTGTCTCGCTCACCTGCCCAAGTTTTGTGCTGCGGGATCCGATAATACTTGTTTCCAAAGTGGTCGATGCCCACGTACTCGCTCCCTGGCCCGATAACGCGCTGCTTTAGCAAGCGCAGAAACCGCCATACGCCGCTCATCCCAGGCGAAGAGCGTTGCGAGGGCGCAAACCACAATCTCGCCCCCCAAATATCAGCACACGAGTGGAATAAACACGCAGGAATAAATCCTCGCCCGCCCCTTTCCGTCAAAAGCCACGCCTACACCTCACTCAGGCCCAGAACGTCCATCCTGTTTATTAGAGATACTAAAAATGAAAAAAACACATCCTATTGCTTAAAAAAAAGTTATTTTATGTTAAAACCCCAATTTACTAACGGCTGAATGGCTATCTGTTAATAACATTCATGTGAAAAATTATCTTCTGGACAGCATTTTGGGGGAATGGAAATATTTCAAATTTACACTTGAAGTCAAAGGAGAAGCTGCTTTTTCGTATCTCTTCATATACGTTTCTCTATGCTTCTGAACCTGACGCACTCGACGATGAGGCATTCTGAGCCGGTCCTTTTCTTACCGATGACGTTTCAATACCAAAGTTTCTTATTGGCTAAGAGAGCGACGCTTTGAGCCAACGGGCGCGATTCGATTTCGCAGCGTGGTGGTATAGCAGTCGCTGGTTCTTCCTTTCAGCTATGCTGGGTTTTCTTTCCGCTCGTCAGGCCGGAGTAGATGACCCGCTGAGGCTCCGCCGGGTGGAGGCTACGAGGAGGTAAAGCTTGCCGGACTGCGTTAGTCTCCTCAGGCCACACGTGATCACGGAGGGTCCTGCACAGTTTCAGCGTCACAATAAACGCCTCAGACCCGGGTTCGTGGGGTGGCTGTCTGGATAGATGATCATGGCTTTTAAGTCAGTGTTGATTCCTGGCGACTACCTGGGCAGTTTTCTTGGGAAGATTTCAAGGCTGAGAGAGGGACTGGTCCAAGGCCACTCAGCTAGCTTTGTCCTTAAGGTGGGATTAGAACTCATAATATTCCAATTCTAGCTGATGTCTTCACCACCACTCCAACTAACTCTTTGATAACAATAATACTATCTAATAAGTCTGAAAGGCATCATGTGGGAGAGAATTGCAGAAAAGGAAATAGCATTGACTAGCCCTCCTTGCAAGTATACAAATTAGCAAGCAAGACTGAACATGTGCTAGAAAGATTCACTGTGTAGAGGGGAGCAGAAACGCCCTTTCTAGTGCCATTCCTAGCCAGTGAAAATTGTATGGACACAATGTGCAAGAAAGCTTCTGTATGAATGTACCCTTGTTCAAGCATCCTTGGTTGTACATGTACTTAGCCTGTAAACTAGGCTCATTTTCAGCTTTATTTCCAGGAGGGGGGGATTTTGTTTTATTCTGCAATTAGGAACTGATGCCCCTAGTTCCATCAGTCTAGCTGCAGATTCAAGAACGGCATTTGGATGGGGAAAGGTACATAAATCGACCTATGAATGTGTGCTCATATGGAGCCTTATAATGAAATGTTAAAAAACTAGTACCTTTATGTTTCTCCCATGCATTAAGTATGCAGTTTCTAAATGTTTGGGAGAGAACCATTTGTGTGCTCACAACTTTCCTTCTAAGGTTATTTGGTAAATAAGTGTCAAAAATATTGCTCTAAGCTTTGAGAAAAGATGAAACAATACTGATGTAACTAATTTATTAAAGAAAAAAATTACATGGTGAATAAAATGTAAACTACAATTTGATGGTGCAGCTCACAGAAATAGAAACACAATTCCTTTAGAAGGAAATCTAACTTAATGGGTCATTGAATAACCACAACTAGCAAATGTATCTAGCATTGCAATTTATCTTGAAAGAAATCGACATTGTAATTATTGAGAACTATTTTCTAAATAATGTATTCTGTAAACTCAAAAAAATCTAATGTAACATATTAAAATAGTAACAGGAATATCAGTCCAAGCATCCTTTGAAACTCTAGGGTTGACTTCTTTTATGTAAGTGTAGATTTCTAGCTATACTAAAGAAATTGTCAAAAAATAGTGAAGACATTGAGCAAGGTTCTATCTGTATTGATGGAGGAAATAGCACATTATACAAATTAATATGTATTTGTATTTTTGATAAGTTAAAAATTTGTTATTTTAATAGTTGTGATCCAAACGTGGAAATAATAGACAAAAAAAGAATAAAGAAGCAGATAATATTTTATAATTTTGTTAACTTCACTTGAGGAATCAATGTAATAATAAAAATAATATGCCATTATATGTTGAATGGCTATTGTCATGCAAAGTGTAATATGAAATACTGACATTTATGGAATTACATATCCAGGAATGAATTTCTAATGTCTGTTCAATTCAGAATTTGCCACATAAAATGAGACTATACCATTTCTAAGAGAAGATCATCCAACGTTTTCCTTAATTCCAGCAAAATTTGGTTCACCATATCCCAAGGCACTCAAGTTTCACTGATAGAGTTTATGTCTATTTCAGGAGAAATGTATGGCTCATTAGTTTTTCTACCCTTTAGTTCTAATCTTGCTTCTGGAGAAAGAATATATTATATTTAATAGATAGAATTGAATAATCTATTTTATATATACTACCTGACACAGTGGGAAAAGGTGAAATGTAGATAAATTCTTTGTAAATCCTAAAATTATAAGAATAGAATCCTTTTATAGGAAAAGGGGTATACGATTTTTTAAATTCTCAATCATCATGAGTCATTCAAGGCATCTTAAGCTTACTTTTCACCAAATTTGTAACATAAATTGAGAAAGCAAATTCTAGTTTTGCCAAATCAATAGGATTTTTTTAAAAAAATCATTTTTATTCGTAATTTATAAAGCTTTTATAGGATAGAAACAGTTAAATAATTCACTTAAAAATTCAAATGTTACTTGATAGATAGAAATACAATACATAAATACTGTTGCTTTATTTGCTTGGATAGTTTAGATACAAACGACATACACTACTGACATGCAGTATGTCAGCTTTCCAAAGTTTGAAATTGACTACAAAAAATACTGTAAGTGGTAAATATAGTGGATTGAAGAATTTGATAAAATAACAAAATATATAATTTTAATTTTGTTTATAATTGTTTCCTTTTTAAAGGGTATTAAGCTTGGAGTTAAATAAGAACAAAGATGTTGAAAGGATTCATGGGAGTGGGATTAATATCTTGGATATTGAACCTGTTGAAAATCGATAGTATGTATATTTTATTATGCTTTGTTATGAAATTTATTTTACTGAACTGATTTGAAATATTTGCATTTATAAATTCATGGAAACTTTTTTTCATAGAAGCATTTCAGAAAATTTACTTGCAGTATAATGAAAGAATGTCAGCCAAACTGAATAATTTTGAAATTATAATTAACAATTTTCAAATGACTATCCCAGAATGTATATATGTACGTATGTATGTATATGTATATGTGTGTGTGTGTGTGTGTGTGTGTGTGTATATATAATTAATAGCTAACTGGCCAATATAAATTTGCATGTTAAATTGTTAGTTTTTTTAGCTTTTTTTCCTTAGCATCTTAACATAGAGCAGTCTGATATGTTTAAATGAGTTTTACTGGTTTGTTCAGAGGTCTTTTTGATTAATCCCATATGATCTCCTCAAACAGCCCTGGGTGGATTTTCTAAGCATTCTTGTGTTAGCATCTTATTTATTACTGTATAATTGATTATGGTTTCTGTGTGCCAACACATGGAGGAATCAATACAAAATTGTGGGTTTTTTGTCCAGCTAATGAAAATAGAATCTGGGCAGATAATAAAATAAGCATTAACCAAGCAATTTCCAAACAAGAGAGATAGACAGTTAACTATATGGAAATAATTGCTACTCCATATTTGGACAGAACAATAGAATAGAATAGAATAGAATAGAATAGAATAGAATAGAATAGTTTATTGTTACTTTGAATGTACACTAATCGGCATACATTAAAATGAAATTTCGTTGCATATAAAGGGCCACCACCTCCGATATACATTGCATAAATGTGACAAAAATAAATAAACATAAAGCTTAGGTAAACCTGAAACTAGGATAAAGATCTGCATAGGATTGGGGTTGGAGCACTTGTGGGCAGGGATATAGTACATCCATGTTTTCTTTACCAGATTCAATGTCTTAGCATGTCATGTGAACATGATTAGTGTGAAGAATTGTGTTGTGTCTTAAAATATTTTCAGATATGCCAATAAAAATAATTTCTAAGAAAATTGTTTTGTTTTAGGACAACTTTTAGACTATATCAAGAATACTTTATTATAAAATCATTATTCAGATATTTCAGTTTAAATATTTTTAGATTGAAATATTAAAAATAAAATATTTAGAGGTTGGATGACAGCACATGAAATGGTATGGTATGCTAAAAGAATAAATCAACTTGAAATTAATATATATGTTTAACACTAACATGGATGTATTTTTAAATAAACTAATGTTCAATTATTTTTAAAAGATAAAATTATATATTTGTGGGGGAGAGTAAAGCCTACAATATCTGAATTGATTCATATCTTGTTTTCTTACAGTATGTTATCAGGTGGTTCTGATGGTACTATTGTATTGTATGACCTTGAGAACTTTAGCAAAACGCCATGCTATACCTGTAAAGTGATTGGTTCTGTGGGAAGGTATGTATACTTAAAAACTTGTTATAAATATGTTACCTACATTACATGTTTATAGTTCACTGCTAACTCATATTTTGTCAACAAAATAAATGAAACATTATTTAATAAGCTATTGTTAGCACAGTTTGTGCTATAGAATAGTTAGCACGTACGTTCTTATACCAAGGTCAGCAAGATTGATCTTCAGCTGCCCTTTAGAAACAGGAAGAGGTTAGTTGCCATAGGGGATTGTTTGCTAGACCAAATGTACATTTTTTAATTTCATTTTTCATCCCTGCTTAAACATTTAGGAAAACAAATCGAAATTCTTAGTAGTTGCCATTAATTTGCAATACTGGTTTAAATCAGTCCAAAGTTCAAAGGAAATTAGTTATATAAAATGGAGGCACATAGAAAAAGCAAGGAAATGTAATATATATAAAAAATTAAAATGTAAGCAAGTGAGTATTGTAGTAGGAAACATTAAACAAATAGTTCCCATGTGTCATCGTTACAATTTTTGATTATTTCGTCAGATATACAGTTTGTCCTAAAGCATATAAACACAAAGGCATTTTGCTAACTTGTGCAGACTCAAATGTGTTCAAATAAAGGTTGGCATAAAACAATCTGATATCCTGATGGAAAGGATTGGCAGTCGGAGGTCATGGAGATTCAAGTAATCATCCCTGAATCATTTTCTCCAGTGTCTGGAAACAACTGCCAAAATTGGTGACATAGTTTTCCTGCCATTTTGAGGTAGAAATACAAAACTAATATACAATAAAGCAGGGCTTTTCAACCAATGGTACGGGTACCACCTGTGGTACATTGGCACCTGGCAGATGGTACGCGACCATCCTAGAAAAGTGGTAGTGGGGGAGGGGAATGAGCTGAACTGATGGCAGCACCGCAGAAGCCTGAGCGAGAGATGGCTGGAGCTGCAGGGCTGTCAAAGCTCAGCGGAAGCGCCAGGATCGGCGCCAGGCTCCAGCTGGTGCTCGGCATTGATCCTGGCACTTCTGCTGAGCCCAGAAGAAGCGCAGATCAGCTGGAATGTTGCAGCCTCTCCAGGGTCTTGTGATTTACATTCAGATGCTTGGCAACAGATTCATATTTATGGCAGTCATAATGTCCCAGGGTCGTGTGAAGTGACCAAAACCTGCTGCAACCACCCAGCAGACGGGGGGAATAAAAACCAAACACCCCCCACCCCACCCCCTCTGCCAATCCTCAACAGAAATGCTCACAATAATGAAAACCTCAGACAGGGGGAAGAGTGCTGCCGGGTGGGCAGGCAGGTGTCTTGCTTGGCTGTGGCTTGGGGGGCACATTTTTCAGTGCCATTGTAACTTCGAACAGTTACTAAGCGAACTGTTGTAAGTCGAGGACTACCTGTACTTTATCACTTTTTTCCTTTTTTTTTTTTGGTCATCAAGTTTTTGACACCTTGCTAGGCGATTGGTAGTACTCAGATATTGCCATATCCTAAAATTGGTACAATGGGTGAAAAGGTTGAAAAACCCTGCAATAAAGTGTAAAAAAAAAAAAGAAGAAGAAAATAAAATTCTCTCAGGTGAATAAATTGAAAAAGCAGGAGGGAAAGTTTATAATACTTTATTTTATTATACTTTGTTTTGTCTGCCTGCAGTAGCTTCTCTTTCTCTTGGAGCAATTAAGTATACTTAGGACAGTCTTCTCTAACCTGAAGCTCTCTTGAAGCTTTGGCTTGCAACTTTGAATCAGCCAATCTCCTTCCAGCCAATCTAATTCACATAGAATATGGGAGGCAGGAGTACTAATGTAGTCGTGAAGGAAAAAAATCTTGTCTATGTGATTACTAAAAGTCGACACCGAGTAGATGGCACATTATCATCATCATAAGAAGGTCACTAGACTCCGAGAATAATAGGGAGGCGATCCTAGAATGTCACCAAACGTCATCTCCAGGCTTTTGTCATGTATGTTTTATTTTGTAGGATTGTATGTATTTTGTATTTTTGTAATCCACAGAGAGCCAGTAAAGTAAACAGTATTTACATTTCTTTTAATATAACTAGAATATATCTTTGCTTCAGAGCTAGTACAGAGCAACAAACTTTGGTCTCTCTGCATTGGTTCATTGTTTCCAAGTTTGTCCTAATGGCTCCTAATTTTATGCACTTTGATTTAGAGTGAAGTTTGGTTATCAACCATGGTGCTGTAGCACATTGGTGTGCCATAATAGGTTTGCAGGTATGCCGCCTCAGCCAAAAACCCACATCTATGATATCACCAGGTATCACTGATATCACTGTCTCCGTTCTTTTTGTGGTGCCATAGGATTTCCAGTTTCAAGACCTGGAAGTCCCACCTTTGTAATGCGTGCTGTGAGATGAAACAAATAAAAACCTGCTGGTTAAGAGAGATGGCCTTGTAGATCTTCTGTGGAAAGCTTTTGTGGTTTTTTTTTTTAATGGTGTGATTAAATATTTACCCAGTAGGTGGCAGAGCTAGCTTAAGTTCTGCTCTGTTACATTAAACCAAGATAGAATTATACTATTTGAACTATTTTAGTTTTTCTTTCCTGTTTGAAGAATCTTAACTCTTCCTGCTACCTAGGTCTTGAAAGAGTTGAGATATTCAGATTTGTTGAGCATTATTACAGCAAATAATTTCTGTCATTTTACTTTTCTATGACTCCATTATAGGAACCATCCTGGTGTTCATAAATACAGTGTAGAGACTGTTCAGTGGTATCCTCATGATACTGGCATGTTTACCTCAAGTTCATTTGATAAAACACTGAAAATATGGGATACAAATACTTTACAGGTAAGTTTTCTTTAATAATTTGATCTTTATATGAAAGAAAAATAGTATTTTAACACTTCCTTGTTTTTATAAGGGACTGGCTGATTTTTGTAAAGCAATTTAAATGAACACACCATATAGTAAAGCCTAATGTATATCAACTCTCAAGAGTTGATATAGGATCACAGACCAGCAAGGAAACTGTACTTGATATGGAAAGCCAAATAGTTGACCATGGAAAAATAGTAAGTTATACTACTTGTAAATGTCAGACATGGGCTTATACATTGTGTTATACTATAGATTATATAATCATTGGTTATTAAAGCAGAGTTCATCAACACATTAAATTGTAGTTTACAAACCATAATAGCTAAGATAGCAAGCATGCTAAGCCCAAACCACCAGCTACATTTTGGTTTGTTATGTTGAATGAGTCTAGATAGAGAAAATGTCCATGCAACATGCCACATTTGTTGTAACTATAATTTACTCTGTATTCTAGTTATATATGATTCTGCAAACCAAGGACAGTCCAGGTTGCTATGAAGCAGATATCTGGGCTGATATCCCAGGCAACTTTGTAGTAGTTAGCTAAAATATTTCCTGCTTTAAAAAAAAATACTTAAAAAAATAATATTCTAAATAACCTGTTTGGCATCAAATCAATATTGTTATCTCTAATGCTCTATTATCATTCTGGTACCCAAGAAACCATCAAGGAGCTGAATGACTACAGACCTGTGGCTCTGACATCTGTAGTTATGAAAACCTTCAAAAGGTTACTGTTGGCCCATCTGACAGCCATCACAGATCTGCTGCTAGACCCCTTGCAATTTGCCTGCCATGCAAATAGATCAGCAGATGATGCTGTCAATATGACATTGCATTACATCTTACAACATCTTGAATCACGAAACTATGTAAGGGTCCTTTTTGTAGACTTCAGCTCAACATTCAACACCATCATTCCTGAAATGCTCTTTAAACTGACTCAACCTAGAACTAAGGAGAAACTTCCTGACAGTTAGAACAATTAACCAGTGGAACAACCTGCCTCCAGAAGTTGTGAATGCTCCAACACTGGAAGTTTTTAAGGAGAAATTGGACAGCCATTTGTCCAAAATGGTATAGGATTTCCTGCCTGAGCAGTGGGTTGGACTAGATGACCTCCAAGATCCCTTCCAACTTTATCATCATCACCATCATCATCATTATTGTTATTATTTGTACCTGACCATACGTAGATGGATTATAAGCTGTCTAACAAATAGCAAGCAGCAGGTGAAGCTAGAGAAAATCACATCAAACACCCATTCATTTAACACAAGAGCTCCCCAGGGCTGTGTGCTCTTTCCATCTTCCTCTTTGCAAAAGTACCATAAAAGGAGGTAACCTTCACAGCCATACATTGCAACTGGGAAAACCATGGCCTGGACTATACGTACTTTTGTTGGCAGGATGATGTCTCTGCTTTTTAGTATGCTGTCTAGATTTGCCATAGCTTTCCTCCCCAGGAGCAAGCGTCTTTTGATTTCTTGGCTGCAGTCCCCATCTGAGGTGATCTTGGAGCCCAGAAAAATAAAATCTGTCACTACCTCCATTTCTTCCCCATCTATTTGCCAGGAATTGAGAGGGCCGGATGCCATGATTTTGGTTTTCTTAATGTTGAGTTTCAAGCCAACTTTTGCACTCTCCTTCTTCACCCGCATCAAGAGGCTCTTTAGTTCCTCTTCACTTTCTGCCATTAGAGTGGTATCATCTGCATATCTTAGGTTGTTGATATTTCTCCCGGCAATCTTAATTCCAACTTTTGATTCATCTAGCCTGCCTTTCTCATGATGTGCTCTGCATATAAGTTAAATAGGCAGGGCGACAGTATACAGCCTTGCCGGACTCCTTTTCCAATTTTGAACCAATCAGTGGTTCCGTGTCCAGTTCTCACTGTTGCTTCTTGACCCGCATATAGGTTTCTCAAGAGACAGATAAGATGGTCTGGTATTCCCATCTCTTTAAGAACTTGCCACAATTTGTTGTGATCCACACAATCAAAGGCTTTAGCATAGTCAATGAAGCAGAAGTAGATGTTTTTCTGGAACTCCCTAGCTTTCTCCATGATCCAGCCTATGTTGGCAATTTGATCTCTAGTTCCTCTGCCTCTTCGAAATCCTGCCTGTACTTCTGGTAGTTTTCGATCCACATACTGCTGGAGTCTAGCTTGTAGGATTTTAAGCATAACTTTACTAGCATGTGAAATGAGTGCAATGGTGCGATAGTTTGAACATTCTTTGGCATTGCCTTTCTTTGGAATTGGAATGTAAACTGACCTTTTCCAATCCTGTGGCCACTGTTGAGTTTTCCAAATTTGCTGGCAAATTGAGTGTAGCACTTTTACTGCATCGTCTTTTAAGATTTTGAATAGCTCAGCTGGAATACTGTCACCTCCACTAGCTTTGTTGTTGCTCAGATTTTCTAAGGCCCATTTCACTTCACATTCTAGGATGTCTGGTTCGAGGTCAGTGACCATCTCATTGTGGTTATCTGGGACGTTAAGCTCATTCTTGTATAGTTCTTCTGTGTAGTTTTGCCATCTCTTCTTAATCTCTTCTGCCTCTGTTAGGTCTCTACCGTTTTGGTCCTTTATCATGCCCATCTTTGCATGAAACTTTCCCTTCATATCTCCAATTTTCTTCAAGAGATCTCTGGTCCTCCCTATTCTGTTGTTTTCTTCTATTTCTTTGCACTGTTCATTTAAGAAGGCATTCTTATCTCTTCTACCTATTCTCTGGAATTCTGCATTCAATTGGGTGTATCTTTCTCTTTCTCCTTTGCCTTTCGCTTCTTTCCTCAGCTATTTGCAAAGCTTCCTGAGACAGCCATTTTGCTTTCTTGCATTTCTTTTTCTTTGGGATGGTTTTAGTTGCTACCTCTTGTATAATGTTGCAAACTTCCATCCATAGTTCTTCAGGCACTCTGTCTATCAGATCTAATTCCTTAAATCTATTTGTCACCTCTACTGTATATTCATCAGGAATATGATTTAGTTCATACCTGAGTGGCCTAGTGCTTTTCCCTACTTTTTTCAATTTAATCCTAAATTTTGCAACGAGAATCTCATGATCTGAGCCACAGTCAGCTCCTGGTCTTGTTTTTACTGACTGTATAGAGCTTCTCCATCTTTGGCTGCAGAGCACATAGTCAATCTGATTTCTATGTTGACCGTCTGGTGATGTCCATGTGTAGAGCCGTCTCTTGGGTTTTTGGAAAAGAGTGTTTGTTATGACCATCGTATTCTCTTGACAAAATTCTATCAGCCTGTACCCTGCTTCATTTTGTACTCCAAGGCCAAACTTGCCTGTTATTCCGGTTATCTTTTGGCTTCCTACTTTAGCATTCCAATCCCCCATGATGATAAGGACATCATTTTTTGGTGTTAATTCTATAAGGTGCTGCAGGGCTTCATAGAACCGGTCAATTTCATCCTCTTCAGCACTAGTGGTTGGGGCATAGATTTGGATTATTGTGATATTGAATGGTTTGCCTTGGATTCGAATTGAGATCATTCTGTCATTTTGGGGATTGTATCCCAGTAAATTATTTTACTATAATACTAATTTGTGAACAAGTTGGTATGAATAAGGAATAAGTGTTATTTAATATCTTATGTAAAATAATAACAGTTATTTAAATTAAGTATAAAAAGTACAAAATGTAAAATTTTGTACAAATGCATAAAATATATAAAAATATAAACGGTAATTATGTAAGATATAGGTGAGGGCTAAACATAATGTAAATGTAGAATGGTGTGGGTTTTCTTTTTCTTTTGTGGTTGAAAACAGGATTTAAAATGTTAAAGTAAAAGCTGTTTAATCTTGTAATTATAAGTACATGTTTCTTTGTGTTATGTGGATGGTATATGCAGTATTAAAACTTGACACTATGTTTTATTTTTGCTAATGTGTTATAAATCATAACTATGGTCTATTGCTTCTGGGTTAAGATTTGAATTGGTCCAAGTATTTAATAATATATTATCTTTCAATTAACAGCCTGCTGATGTATTTCATTTTGATGGGACAGTATATAGTCATCATATATCTCCTGTTGCTACAAGACATTGCTTAATTGCAGGTTTGCATTAATTTTAAATATATTTTGAATGTATTTTAACTGTCCTCATTTTTTAAAATAATTCTTTTCTGTGTTGAAGATTGCAACATACCATAATTTAGAGTTACAAATATGTGGCATAATTTCAGTAAGGCTGCTGTTGATTTCTGTTTATAATTATTGATCCCTACAAACTTTTACATTTGAGAAAGAATACTTGAATAGTACATAGCCTTATTGTGTAATGTATTTTCTAGATATTTACCATGCTTTTGTAAACACATTGGAGCTTTTTTTAAATCAACTTGCACAAATTGTATTATTAAAATATTTTTGGCCAGTCTGATATTTAGGCATAGCAAATAATAATCTTAAAATAAAAATTTCAGTCATACTTGTTACATGATGGGGGCACATATCTGACTCATCTATCATTTCTCCCCCACCACTATATTTTTAAGGGTATTCATAGTTCACATTACTTACTTATGCCACTAATTAAATGTAGCATATAGGTTACCAGGCATTGTGGCTAAATGTTGAGTTGTTAGAAAACAAAAGCATCACATGACTAAGGAAAGTGTTATGTTGACATTAAGGGCTATCCATTTGAAGCTCTGTATAGGGTGATATATATACAGTTTCGCCCTACACATACTGTACAAAAGTTTCCTTTATTATAATGTACATACTGTACTCCCTTTTTATAAAAGAAAAGGTATAATATCTTCTTTCTTGTTGTTTATGAAAAAGATGCTGTATGCTAATGCAAAATGCAATTATAATAAAAGTAATTCTCTGATGAACCTATGTGATGTTTAAAGATTTTAAAATTGCTATCTATTTTGTATATTTTTATATTAACATGTAGTGCTTGTGTTTGTTTTCTGTAATGTGTTTTTGCTTTTTCTGTTACAGTTGGTACCAAAAGCTCCAAAGTACAGCTTTGTGACTTCAAGTCAGGATCTTGTTCTCACATTCTGCAGGGTATTTCTTACTCGAAACATAAATGTTAGACAATAACTACTTTGAGTATACCACACTATGTAAAGAACTGCATTGAACAATATTTTCTTTGTAAGTAATAGGACAGATGTGTTTAGTGCCAGTTGTCAAAGAAGCACAGTGAGAAGGGCTTTCTTCCTTAACATTTTTCTGATCTTGATGGCCTGAAGATATATTATTGATAATTATAAAAAATTCTCATGTCTATTTAAGTTGGACTTCTTGAGTTTTATATCATTCAGATATAAACTTGTAGTTTTCTAAGCAAGTTGAGAAACTACTGTATATGTCGGCGTACAAGGCGACCCGGCGTATAAGACGAACCCCGTCTTTGGCGCTGAGTCGCATTCCTAGAACGTCATCTTATACGCCGGAAACTACCAGTATTTCCGGCATATAAGACGACTCGTCATATAAGACAACCCCCGTCTTTGGCGCCGATTTTAACGCTTGCGGAAGTCGCCTTATACGCCGGCATATACGGTATCTTGATTATATTTATCCAAGTACTTTACATATACCTGATTAATTAAAATTATATTTTTAATTTTAAACTAATTCAGGTAAGCCATGAAACAATGTTTTTATTCCAGAAGACAAGTAATGAGCAGGGAGTGGTTTCTTAGCAGGGCATTCTCCTTTTTCATTCTTTCTGCCCATTGTCCTGACCTGTTCCCACTCACTATTGCCCAGGATTTTACAGATTATTTAGTGGCCTTCCTCTATTATCTCAGGTATCGTATCTGATATCTACCTTCTGGTATCAGCTCAGAATCTGTGGTTTGAAAAGTGACAGCTTAATAGCTGGCAAGAATTCAGACTTAATACATTATGAAGTAGAATCTTGAGCTATATAATTTACCTGTATTGTTTCGGGATATAAGTAAGGAATGCCATTTTGAATGTAAATCTTATCAAATCCTGTTAACATTGAAAATTGTTGCAAGTTCAACCTGTAATGGCATAGTTCCTTCTAATTTCTTAGAACTCTACCCTTTCATTCTGCTGTACCTGGAAATGTTTCACAAATTCTATTTTTCTTCCATTACCAGAATTACATCTGAAATTATGTTGATATATAAAGTAATATGATATTTCACTATGCATATTCTGTGGTCCTCAATACTGCCTTCAGAAAACTATAAACTTATAAACTGCTGAGTGATGCTGGATTCTGGATCTCTATCAGAATTAGTGTTTATATAATTAGTTTATACATATTAATTTAAAATTGAAGTTATTTCTATTATTTACATGAGCCTTGCAATTTACAAAGTTTTCATATTGTTACAAAAATGCAAATTTAGGAAGTTACTATTCTTTTTTAAAGATAATATGTTGTTGTTGTTGTTGTTAATTGCGAAGTCGTGTCCGACCCATCGCGACCCCATGGACAACGTTCCTCCAGGTCTTCCTGTCCTCTACCATCTTCTGGAGTCCATTTAAGTTCACACCTACTGCTTCAGTGACTCCATCCAGCCATCTCATTCTCTGTCGTCCCCTTCTTCTATTGCCCTCAATCTTTCCCAGCATTAGGCCCTTTTCCAGTGAGTCCTTCCTTCTCATTAGGTGGCCAAAGTATTTGAGTTTCAACTTCAGGATCTGGCCTTCTAAAGAGCAGTCAGGGTTGATCTCTTCTAGGACTGACCGGTTTGAACGGCTTGCAGTCCAAGGGACTCGTAGGAGTCTTCTCCAGCACCATAGTTCAAAGGCCTCAATTCTTTGGCGCTCAGCCTTTCTTATGGTCCAACTTTCACAGCCATACATTGCAACTGGGAAAACCATGGCCTGGACTATACGCACTTTTGTTGGCAGGGTGATGTCTCTGCTTTTTAGTATGCTGTCTAGATTTGCCATAGCTTTCCTCCCCAGGAGCAAGCGTCTTTTAATTTCTTGGCTGCAGTCCCCATCTGAGGTGATCTTTGAGCCCAGAAAAATAAAATCTGTCACTACCTCCATTTCTTCCCCATCTATTTGCCAGGAATTGAGAGGGCCGGATGCCATGATTTTGGTTTTCTTAATGTTGAGTTTCAAGCCAACTTTTGCACTCTCCTTCTTCACCCGCATCAAGAGGCTCTTTAGTTCCTCTTCACTTTCTGCCATTAGAGTGGTATCATCTGCATATCTTAGGTTGTTGATATTTCTCCCGGCAATCTTAATTCCAACTTTTGTTTCATCTAGCTCTGCCTTTCTCATGATGTGCTCTGCATATAAGTTAAATAGGCAGGGCGACAGTATACAGCCTTGCCGGACTCCTTTTCCAATTTTGAACCAATCAGTGGTTCCGTGTTCGGTTCTCACTGTTGCTTCTTGACCCGCATATAGGTTTCTCAAGAGACAAATGAGATGGTCTGGTACTCCCATCTCTTTAAGAACTTGCCACAATTTGTTGTGATCCACACAATCAAAGGCTTTTGCATAGTCAATGAAGCAGAAGTAGATGTTTTTCTGGAACTCCCTAGCTTTCTCCATGATCCAGCCTATGTTGGCAATTTGATCTCTAGTTCCTCTGTCTCTTCGAAATCCTGCCTGTACTTCTGGTAGTTCTTGATCCACATACTGCTGGAGTCTAGCTTGTAGGATTTTAAGCATAACTTTACTAGCATGTGAAATGAGTGCAATGGTGCGATAGTTTGAACATTCTTTGGCATTGCCTTTCTTTGGAATTGGAATGTAAACTGACCTTTTCCAATCCTGTGGCCACTGTTGAGTTTTCCAAATTTGCTGGCAAATTGAGTGTAGCACTTTTACTGCATCGTCTTTTAAGATTTTGAATAGCTCAGCTGGAATACTGTCACCTCCACTAGCTTTGTTGTTGCTCAGATTTTCTAAGGCCCATTTCACTTCACATTCTAGGATGTCTGGTTCGAGGTCAGTGACCATCTCATTGTGTTTATCTGGGACATTAAGCTCATTCTTGTATAGTTCTTCTGTGTAGTTTTGCCATCTCTTCTTAATCTCTTCTGCCTCTGTTAGGTCTCTGCCATTTTGGTCCTTTATCCTGCCCATCTTTGCATGAAACGTTCCCTTCATATCTCCAATTTTCTTGAAGAGATCTCTGGTCCTCCCTATTCTGTTGTTTTCTTCTATTTCTTTGCACTGTTCATTGAAGAAGGCATTCTTATCTCTTCTAGCTACACTCTGGAATTCTGCATTCAATTGGGTGTATCTTTCTCTTTCTCCCCTGCCTTTCGCTTCCCTTCTTTCCTCAGCTATTTGCAAAGCTTCCTCAGACAGCCATTTTGCTTTCTTGCATTTCTTTTTCTTTGGGATGGTTTTAGTTGCTACCTCTCGTACAATGTTGCGAACTTCCATCCATAGTTCTTCAGGCACTCTGTCTATCAGATCTAATTCCTTAAATGTATTTGTCACCTCTACTATATATTCATCAGGAATATGATTTAGTTCATACCTGAGTGGCCTAGTGCTTTTCCCTACTTTTTTCAATTTAAGCCTAAATTTTGCAACGAGAAGCTCATGATCTGAGCCACAGTCAGCTCCTGGTCTTGTTTTTACTGACTGTATAGAGCTTCTCCATCTTTGACTGCAGAGCACATAGTCAATCTGATTTCTATGTTGACCGTCTGGTGATGTCCATGTGTAGAGCCGTCTCTTGGGTTGTTGGAAAAGAGTGTTTGTTATGACCATCGTATTCTCTTGACAAAATTCTATTAGCCTGTGCCCTGCTTCATTTTGTATTCCAAGGCCAAACTTGCCTGTTATTCCGGGTATCTTTTGGCTTCCTACCTTAGCATTCCAATCCCCCATGATGATAAGGACATCATTTTTTGGTGTTAATTCTATAAGGTGCTGTAGGGCTTCATAAAACTGGTCAATTTCATCCTCTTCAGCACCAGTGTTTGGGGCATAGATTTGGACTATTGTGATATTGAATGGTTTGCCTTGGATTCGAATTGAGATCATTCTGTCATTTTGGGGATTGTATCCCAGTATTGCTTTTCCTATTCTTTTATTGACTATGAAGGCTACTCCATTTCTTCTGAGGGATTCTTGCCCACAGTAGTATACCTGATGGTCATCTGAGTTAAATTCACCCATTCCTGTCCATTTTAGTTCGCTGATTCCTAAGATGTCGATGTTCAGTCTTGTCATCTCTTTTTTGACTACGTCTAGCTTGCCTTGATTCATGGATCTTACATTCCAGGTTCCTATGGAGAAAAAATCTTTACAGCATCGGACTTTCCTTTCACCACCAGATATATCCACAGCTGAGCGTCCTTTCGGCTTTGGCCCAGTCGCTTCATTCTTTCTGGCGCTACTAGTACTAGCCCTCTGCTGTTCCCCAGTAGCATATTGGACACCTTCCGACCTGAGGGGCTCATCTTCCAGCGTCATATCTTTTTGCCTTTTAGTACTGTCCATGGGGTTTTCATGGCAAAGATACTGGAGTGGTTTGCCATTTCCTTCTCCAGTGGATCACATTTTGTCAGATAATATACAGTACTATTAAAGTCTGTACAAAAAATTGCAATATAATTTATGTAAGATGAGAATAATAGAAAACAATATTTAACCTCTTAATTAATAAACCAAAATATTATTGTGTTTTTGTATTTTTAGGTCATACTCAAGAAATTCTAGCAGTATCTTGGTCACCACGTTATGAATTTATTTTAGCAACTGGAAGGTAAAAGAAACCAATAAAATAAAGCAGTGTTTATTAAAGTCAGCCAGTGTTTTAAAAGCCTATTCTAAACTTCTTTGACAGTAGCATCCATACAAAGTGCAATGAGGTAAAAATTACATCTTGCACAAATTACAGAGTGATATAATCATGCAACTGCCCCGATTACATACTTTCTTAAATCACCTGATCCAAGTATATAAGACATTGTATTTATATAATTATCACTTTATGCATGTGTCACCATGTCCCCTACCTCTGACCTTAAATGCCTAGGTTGGCAGCATTTCCTAAGTTGAAATTTCGTTTTATTTATTTATTTTTAAATTTAAATTTAAAAGCAGATAAATACTTGTAAACCATGAATATAGGTTTTGGCACCGAAATGTAAAATTAGAGTTGTGAAAGATTTACTATATTATTGCTGAATGAATATTTTAATAGTCTCTGTGTTCTTTTCAAACTTATTTTTTTTGATACCTACATCAGCAAAACATATTCATTAAATAATCACAAATTTGTGATCAAGAGTAATTTTATTTATTTATATATTTATTTATTCAATTTGGTAATAAAGGTCCCATTAGAGTTGTTCTGGGAAAAGAAATAAAGAAATAAGCTATTAATTTCCAAAATTTCCAAAATTCAACACATTTTGCACTCAATTCCTGAGAGTTTTAAGAATTTCAATTTTTTAATCCCTTCAAGAAGGATCTCATTTTCTGTTCATCTGTTTTGGAGTCACAGATCTTTCAAAACTTTTAACAGTGTTATTTTGTATAATAAAAAAAGTTATCCATTTCCTGGTTTAATAGTTGTACGTATCCTTTAGGGAATAAGTCGTCCATCAGTTCCATTTGTATGTCTGTATCTTTATATTCTTATCATTGGTTATCATATTTAAATCCCCTTTCTAAATAATTTCAAAATTATTCATTGCAAGTGCACTTGTTTAGCTGCATCCATCTTATCAAGAAGTTTATTTGTCTTATCAAAAGTTTTGGTAGAGAAATAACTGCTCCATTCTTTTTTTATCCTTTAGTTCCCTCTAGTGCCCAATCTTCAAGGTCCATTTATCATAAAAAATGTAAACAATGATCATTTTTCAATGATAAAATTTATTCTAATGAAATAAATTCCAAATCTGTCTGGACCCTTAATCTGTTAACTATCCAAAATCATATTCTAAGCACTTTTTGCTCCAAAATATATTTCAAAGACTTTTAAAGTGGTCAAAGAGTACATGGAGTCAGAAGTGTTTTTCAGGAGAGTATTTTAGAGTTTGTTTTCAGAACATTTTGGGGAGAGGGGATAATTAGAATGTGGGAGAAACTGTGAGAGGTCATTTTCTGTGTTTTTAAAAACACGTGAATTTATTCAAGTTAAGAAAAAATAATTGAAAATAAAATAATTATGAAACTGTTGAAAGTTCATTTGTATTGCTCATAAATTACCTCAGAGTTTTGTTTTTCTTTTAGTGCTGACAGTAGAGTGAAATTGTGGGATGTAAGGAGAGCATCTGCCTGTCTACTCACTCTTGATCAACATAATGGGGAGAAGTCAAAAGCTGCTTCCGAAGCAAGTAATATATTTCATATATCAATATTACAGTTTTATTGTAATATAAGTTCATATTAAACAGGAACCATGCTACTATATAGCTTAGGATAGATGACACAGTACTAAATGCTATATGAAAGGTTTCGTGGCCTTTTTTAAAATACTAGCTTTTGTCTTACCCATGGTTAGCATATGACACTAATATATTATATATTCCCCCAAGAGACTACAACTCTCGACCAAAAAAAAAAAAATGTTTTTTTCTTAGTTATTTTAAATACATAATTATGATTGCTAGTAATTTAGAGTGATTCAGACAATAATTAAATATGTTTTCCATGTGTTGAAATGAATAATCTGTTGAAATCTCCCACACTGAAACCTTAGAATTTTAAAGGGATTAACTTTAGCTGGTTTAAGTCTGGGTGTCTATTTGTTACCTGCAAAAATAATCCAGAATTATAGTAATCCAGTTAATCTTTATATCTTTTCTAGGATGAAAGTAGATTTCCCTAGTCAAACTCATTAATTTTAATTGGGGAATAATATGGAAATATCTTTCTGCTTTTCCCCCCTTCTATGGTGTGGTATGCTAGTAAAATATGCCAGTAGAATATATAAATGATTCTATGAAATTAAGGTGGTATGGTGTCATTTTACTTCAGAAAAAATATTAAAGCATAATGGTGTCATCAATGATCAAGGGAACAATAAGATGCCCTTAGTTTTACTGTAAAGAAGTATTGCATTGGGCAGGGAGCTAAACCAGATGATCTCCAAAATGCCTCCCAACCTGGTATTCTGATTTCATATGTTGTAACTAATCAAGGGAGGAGTCATTAATGCTAATATCAGTGACCCAGGCCACAAGAGATCTAGAAATGACTCTCCCTTAAGTTCCATAGAGCCTTATCTATCTGTTCCCAGGCAAAGGCTGGTAGCCTGAAGATGCTCCTGTATAATAGGCAGAATATAATAAAATAGTTGGCTTCAAGCTTATACCTGTGGATCTGCTTGCTTGCACCTGACACCACTCATTACTCCATTTTTATTGCAAGTGCAGACAGGTGGAACTTCTTTTAGGCGCAGATCTAGCTAAAAATAGCCATTAAAAGTGGTATTAACAGAAAAAAAAATAAGATGACATTCTGACAGTAAAAATTTGGACAACCACATTCCATAATAAAATAAAGGAAATTAAAGATAGTTGGCTATTATTTAATAAATTGCTCAATCATAGTCCATCTAGTATAACTTTTTTAACTTGATCCTTCTCCCTTTTTCTTTCAAAAAGAAAAATAAAATGACATTGGTGTCTTGAATGTAAATATTATTCCAATAATGCTACCAATAAATCCTTAAGTACAGTACTTAACTTTCCCACAATAAATTTGGTTAAATAACAGGATATTTTTATATAATTTTTAAAATTTCAAAACACAACATTTTCATGATATAATAATTGTTTTTGCAGTACCAGGCTATATATGTTGCTGTTCAGAATTTCAAATTGTGCATATTCTCCTTATAGTAAATACTGCCCATAATGGAAGAGTCAATGGCTTATGTTTTACGAGTGATGGGCTTTACCTTTTGACAATTGGTACAGATGATCGCATGAGACTCTGGAACAGTTCAAGTGGAGAGAACACACTGGTAAGAAATATGTAGTTAGAAATGTGGAATTGTTTATATTTCCAGTCTTTTAAAACAATCTTGGTGCTTTGTCTCCATCAAGATAGGAGGAAAAATAGGAGGAGGGAGGTGTGTTGGATAAGTTCACTGCCTTGAGTTATTTGTAAACATTATAAAGGTGAGATATAAATACATTTTTAAAAAAACTTGAAATAATAAGAATTGGAACTATTGATTGATTATGACAACAGAAAAGGCAGCTCAGGTTTTGGATTAAAATTATATGCTGCTAACCATGCAGACATCTAATGCATGCTGCACAGTTTGCTGAGAAATCCTGTGTATTGAAATTCTATTATCAAGGTAATATTTTTGCTTCTTTCTTCCTTTCTTTCAGAATATCTCATAAATTGTGAGATTGTATGGGAAGATGCGTATTTCTTACATAATGGATGTAAATGTATCTTTTAGTGTTACAGAATTGGACACAAGATAATGAAGCTTACAGTGTGAATAGAAAAAGTATATGTGAATTTGAGGAAGAGAACACTAGGGAAATAATGGAGATTTAAAAAAACATAATGAGATTTTAAAAAAACTTTGCAACAAAATTAGACTACTTTCTTGTGGTAATTAACAGGCTTCAGCATATTGAATGTTGGCCATAAAATTTAAATTAAAAAACTATTACCTTACTAGCCTGCACTTAAGTCTTATAGACTCTGGTTTTCCAGCCTCTTTGAGCTTGCTCTATAGTAGGAATCTGTAATTTGCATGGCCTTCAGCATTTATGTCAGAAACTAGAAATAAATATATTCATAGTATCATGCATTAGTTAACAACCAGTTTACGAAAGCAGTTTGCAAAAGTATATTAAAAAGCGATTTCTGAACAGGTTTTGGAGTGGGATATGGACACTCAGGGATATATTCTGTGCTTCCTATCTTGAATCTTATTTGGAGGATTGGTGTTTAGCCAAGAGGTATGAGGCAAATACTGTAGAGTATTACATATAGAAGAGGAAAATATTATAATGGAGAATGTATCAACTGCCAGATACTGAAGGCTATTTCTTAGCTATTCTGTTTCTTAATAATGCAAAGTATGGTAGATAACTGCTATGTGGAAAGTGCTGTAGAAATAGACATATTGCTTCCCTTAAGCAGAGTATTTCTAATCCAGAAACATATAGGCCTTGAAAATTTATATATAAAGTCATAGCCTATGAGGGCTGGAAGGTAACTTGGAGCTTTTCTAGCCCAACCCCTTGTCCATTGTAGGAAATCATTACATACCAGTTGGCCATTCACCTTCTCTTTAAACAGTTCCCACAGAGGAGAGATTGTCACCTTTTCATACAATCTATCAAATAACTTATTATTAGAATTGTTTTCCTTAGTCCAATTAAGCTTCTTAATTTAATTTAAATGCACATTTTCTTTTCCTATCTTCTGCCCCATCTTCTACATGACAGTCCTTCAGACTCTTGAAGACAACTGTCATGTCTTCTACAAGCTTTTTATCTGCATGCTAAGCATATTATCCTCCAATAGTTTGTAATTGCATCCCTTCATGTTTCTAGTTGTTTTTCTCCAGGCATGCTCCAATTTCTAAATGTCTTTCCTAAAATATGATCAGAACTGAATGAAGTATTTTAGGTGCACTTGACCAATATAGAATAGAAAGGAACTGTTTTCTCTTGATCTGGACACTACTCTTGATACCATACAGCCTGGAAACCATCATTTGCTCTTTTTACAGCTACCTCAAACCATTTGACTCATTTTCGTGAATCACCAAAAAGCGCAAATCTCTTTTTCATGTGTTGTTACCCAGTACATCTTCTCTATCTTATATTGTCTTCTTTTCCTACCCAAATATAAAACTTGAGTTACACAGTGTCTGCCACATTTAATCAGCTAAACTAGTCACTTTATTGAAAAAGAAGATGATATTGATTTGATATAATTTACTTTTGATAAACCCATGTTGGCTTCTGCCCTGTTTTACCCATTTCTTTGAAATCCAGTTGATAGGACTGTAGCTTTCCAATTCTTTTTCTCTGTCTTTCTTTTTGAGAGCAGGAACAACATTTGCCCTCCTATAATACCATACTAATTTCTGAAACAAGACAGAAAAGAACTTCAAGATGAAGATGAAAAGAACTTCAATTTCAGCCATAAGCTCTAAGACAAAATAGATCTGGGCCTGGAGATTTAATCTTGTTCGTGGTAGTTGGTGCTTCTTAACTATCTCTTTACATGCACTAGGACGGTTATCACAAGCTCTCATTGCCCATTTTTCTGGTTCAGTCCATTTTGTTACATTTCCCCTCAGGGTAGAAGGACATGAGGACTTCTGCCTTATCTTAATAACATGTTATTATCCTGAATTGTTCCAAAGCAGCAAGCCTTTTCCTCATCATAGTAGTAAAAGCCCATTTTAGCTTGCTTTACATACATAAGAGCATTCAAACTTGTTCTTTCTAACTTTCTGCAAATATTATCAACTTGCAAGTATACCTACTTGGTGATCTTATTTATCTCACATTTATTATGTACTATATGTCCCTTTTAACAGTTAGTTCAGTCAAGGGCTACTATACTTCCACAGTGATTCCCCATATCGCAGTGGTATGTAGCTAACTTCCAGCAACCTATTTTGAGAAATTTCTGAATCCTGTATTTCTTTCTATAGGATCCTATGTAGTATACCAGTATGTATGAAGTGTTTGTCTCATTTGTTTAATTGGGTTCTCTTTATGGTACAGTATCTAGTTTTAAGACTTGTGTGGAGAATAGATCATATTTTAGGTCTTAGTTATGGAGAAATATTGAAAATCCAAAAAATATCACCAACTTTTAAGCAACATTATACATCTACCTTTCTATCTAAATTAATTTGACCTTATAATCATAAGACACAGATCTGATATTCTTTAGAAAATGAGATCACTGGTTTTATAAAATAAGGTATTCAAAATTTGTTTCAAACTTTGATAGGATATTTCAAAATTTGTTTCAAAGTTGTTGTAAATTGTCAGTGTTTATTTTAGTAACACTCTTTAATTGTTTATACTCAATTAGTTGTAAGTTTAAACTCCACCAAGATCTTTTCTAATATAACAGTGTTGACCAAGTTGGTTTTTTAAGAGTCCACAGTTTGGGGGGCTAAGGGCTGAATTTGACTTTCTAATAACATTTTGCTGACCAACTTCAAGAAATAAACAGGTCCTGGATATGAACTAACTTTACATTTTAACTTTGAATTAGTTAAATACAGTTAAGGGTTCATCATATATTTTATTCAATAACATTCAAACTAATTAATTTTTGGAAAGCTTAGGGATTACTGTCCAAAGCTAGGGAAAGCCACAGGTAGCCTTTGGACATCTTTGGACAGTTTAATGAGGCTGTATATTTAAAAAAGCAGTATTCCTTTGATGCAATATATGTTGATGTATATAGTTGATTTATCCATAACTATTAATTTGATGCTCCATATCATTGTGCAAATGATATTGGGAGATAAACTTCTGTTTTGCAATTTAGTAAAACTTTTTCCCATTACCACATCTTAGAAGCTGTCAGAAGGTTGGTTTTTAGTCACAAAATGAGATAGTTAAAAAGAAATCTTCAGCCAGTTGTTGGATAATTGTCTCAATCACAACAATATGACAATTATGCTTGTCATAACTTTCCATATCTTCTATTACATGTATATGCAATATAAGTATTCAGTTGACTGGTATCCTAATAAAAACAAAGTCCAGTTGCCTTTTGAAAAAAACACCTTTGGGACAAGAAAAATGTGACTAAATAAAACTTTTGTCAAGGTGGGCAGTAAGCCCCAAGTGCAACCATTGGCTATTCAAGGTAGTTATACTACTAATGATCCCTTTTTTAAACCTTCCCTAAGAATCACTACCCAGTAGAAGAGTACTGAATTTTGACCCCTTTCTAGTTACTCTGCCACATTACCAGATGGCTTCCTGTGGCTTTCCTGAAGGTCAGGCAGTTGAATTGAATCACTGTTCTGTCAAATGCCCCCTTACCTTGAGACATTAGATAATAGTTTTTCAGTATTTCCCAGCATTAACATTTGCTTGCACTCAGGAAGCAAAATAGTATCAGGACAATAGGATGAGCTACAGGCTGGGGGTAATTTCAGACATATTTTTGCATTCAAAGTTGATATTATAATGGATATCATAGTTAAAGTAATAAAGTCCATGGCAGCCACTTTTTATTTTACTCTCCCTTCATTCTGCTAAATACATAGACTAAAGTATTCTTTATTTAAATTTGATAGTATAGGCTGTTTGCTTACCAAGACACTCTTATCAGTTCATTAATCTTTTCATTCCCCGTCCAGTTACATTCTTAAAATATTTTTGTTGTACATAAAAGAAAACTTGCAGGATTATCTCTTCTGTGTGCCTTATCCACACTTTTTATGTGATGGTAAATTATTAAGCTTTCATAAACTCTCCTGGCTAATGCTATTCTTTTCTTAGCTGCTACTTGTAGAAAGAGCAGCTGCATTTTAACCTTCCTTTTTATTGGCAAAGTGTTCTAAATTGAAGTGCATTATAAGAACCCTTTCCCCCCAACTTGTTTAATGAAAATATACATTACATTTTAAATTATCTTTAAAAATTTCAACTACATAAGGAGGCTTATAAACTGGTCAATATTTCGTATGCCTGAAAACTATCTGCAAGGCTGCACTAAGAAAAGCATTTATTTCTCCATGCCAACTTCCCTTTAGTTTTTTGGTTAAGGCTCTGCATGTCAGTTCAATCCTAGAATAGCCACTTGTTATGAAGAGAGTAGTGCACTGGACATCTCTGGGTTTACTCACAGTTGTAAGATAAATACATCTTTTTTGTCAGAATGTATTATTTTGAAATTATCCACCTTTTGTTCTAAAAAAAATTGTATAATTACAAATGAATGTAGACAAGTAATTGTTCCCCTTCACTTTTCATTTTGAATATTGTGTTCATTTTTAACTCTGACACTTTGAGAAGCAAAAAAAAAAAAAGTTAATGAGGGGGATCAGGAAGTTGGATAAGTCTATGAAGAGAGATTGAGATAATTGGTATTGTTTAGCCTTGGGTAGAAAAGATTGAGGTAGGCATATAAAATCACTCTTAAATTTTGGCAGGGATGCCTGATAGAAGAAGATGGAAACCTGTCCTGGTCTCTGTCATCCTGGTATATAAAATAAGCATAATGTTCTTAAGACCAATTTTAATTGATGTTAAGAAAAAAAATCTAAAATATGTATTCCAAATCTGGACATATGTCTGGATTAAAAGGAATCCAGGTAATCAGCTTCATCCAAGAAAAGCTGAGATTTTGATGCCACCACATATTCTAAGACTTGATTAAAAAAGCTTTTATTTGAAATGTACAGTAGTGATAGTTAATGACCCTTGTTTAAACAAAAGTTTTACTTTCTTAAAGGGGCTGGAACGTGTTTCTCTGACAAAGATTTCTAATATGGATTTAGGCAGATGTTGTCTAGTATCCCAAGATGGGCATTTATCCAAAGAAGTTATATACCTCCAAGCTACTTATTTACATCATTGGTAACTGAACTAAATTTCTTCTGACAATCCTTCTCACCGGTATTATCCAATGCTGAGTTTATCAGGAATTGCTTTATCAGAAAAATATATATATATACTGCAAACATATCATTACAAGATGTCAAAAGATTCCTCACTATAGGAGTTTATATATAATAATTCCTGAATGTCCCAAAAGTGCATTTTCAGGAGGCAACTGGAATTTCTTGTTTTTCATTGAAGAGAAGGCTCCACGCACATTTGCACTACTGAGGTGCCCCGGAGGATACAGGTAAACCTCCAAATGGCCTCAACGACTCTAAAAGAATGCAAATGATCAGCTGTCTGCAAGGAATATAAATCCTTCCATTCTCCACCATCCAGTCAGAGCTGAAGAAGCTTCTTGAATGAGAAACGAAATGTCTTCAAAGAAAAACAAAGTCCAGTTTCCTCATGAAAAAGCACCTTTGGGACAACCATGATCTGCAAATAGAATGCAATAAAATATATGCTTGTGAAATGGTCCCTGCCACAAAAAAGAGGGGAGGGAGCATCCCCCCCCTCAAAAAAAGATACAAAATTATCTATTTGATTCTTCTTTTTGCTCTGGGTATCACTATCCATTGTAGCCTTCAGTTACCAAAAGGCTACCTCTCTCTGTTAAAGAATTATAAAGTAGTTCTGAGTTATTCAAGTCTAAAATTGGATAAATGCTACTGTGGAGTAGGAAGGGACTATATTCTTTACAGCAGAATACATTCAATAGCAAAGTTACAGGAAATAACCTTGTATTTTAAAATTTAACTAACGATTGGACACTTGCTTTGTGAAATTGGGGGCTAAATTTTTTATCTTATGTCTTTATAGGTAAATTATGGGAAGGTGAGCAATGAAAGTAAAAAAGGACTCAGGTTTACTGTATCACATGGCTGCAGTTCAGAATTTGCATTTGTGCCATGCAGTAGCACTGTTGCTGTTTATACAATTTATTCAGGAGATCTAATAACTACGCTTAGGGGACATTATAGTTCGGTTGACTGCTGTGTCTTTCAACCTAATTTTCAGGTAAGTGAAGCTGTCTGGAGAATTTTAGGTTATTTAAGCATGACCTCAAACAAATTTTCCTTAAAACACTGAGCTATATTGAACACATAGTCCCTATAAGGATTATATGCAGTAGAGTTCAAGTGAACTTCAGATTAAGAAGGCAAAGCTTTTCACTTTGAGGTTGAGTATGATGCACTGTCTCTATGACAGTCTCTCCATGTTGTTTCTCTATAGCATGTAAAGTACAGTATAGTAAGAGAATGACTATTTCTATCTATGGGATTTCAGATGAGTGATTATGGTTAACAGACAAATAATGAAGGATTTCTTTAAGATTATCTCTTCCCATTAGCAGCAGGTCTCATTTGTGCAAGAATTTTTCTACTATGTATTTAAAAAGTTATATTAGGGAATTCAACTGGGAGCAGTGTGATGATGGCCTAGTGGTAAAGACACTTATCTCCCACTCAGAAGATTGATAGTTCAATCCTAGGTAGCGGCAGATGTTGTCTCCTAGGATTCAAAGGAAAAAAAATATCTGCTGTGAACTCTGCATGACATCAGGAACAGCATCCAGCCGGTAAATGCTCAGCTTCATCCAGTTGCCCCGACTCTACCCCAAATTAAGGAATTATAGGGTCTTAAGAAGGAAGATTTTTTTTATTAGGGAATTCAACTAGGAATGATTATAAACTAAACATACTGAAGTTCCCAGATTCTATCTTTGAAGTTTCAAAACAAAACAAAAGACATCTGTGTGAGACCCCATTGAATGCTCCTAACCAGATCGACTTAATACGACTTAATACTGAACTAGATGACCTAATAGCCCAATCTGATTTAAAGCAGCTTCCTGTCTTTAGAGGAGTTTAACATGTCAGCACTATAACAATGCTAGTACACAAATTAAAGTGAGGTTCTCAGGCAAGTGACTAATTAAAAATTATAAACTTTGGTCTTAGAGTCATTTGGTCTAGACCAGTGTTTCCCAAACTTGACAATTTTAAGGCATGAGGACTTCAATTCCCAGAATTCCACAGCCAGCAACGCTGGCTGTGGAATTCTGGGAGTTGAAGTCCACATGCCTTAAAATTGTCAAGTTTGGGAAACACTGGTCTAGACAATTGAATTTTTGAATATGCTTTAAATAATCATAATGCCACTTGATTTATTGTAAGAAGTGTCTAATGAAAGTTACATCATTCATAGAAATCTTTGGAGGTATAAATATTAAATTATGTTTCTGCATTGATTGGAGATGACAGTAACTCTGCAAGTCAACAGAGGTCAACATCTTAAGCTTGTTTATTATTCATTTAGATTAAAGAATTTTGGTGGAAGGATCATTTCTAAAAACTTTGTATAGAATACAAATTGTATACAGGTAGTCCTCGACTTATGATCACAATTGAGCCCAAAATTTCTGCTGTTAAGTAAGACATTTGTTAAGTAAGTTTTGCCTAATTTTACAACCTTTCTTGCCACAGTTAAGTGAATCACTGCAGTTGATAAGTTTTTAAAGTGAGTCTGGCTTCCCCATTGATTTTGCTTGTTGAAAGATTGCAAAAGGTTGGATACAGCAACAGTTATAAATATGAACCAGTTGCCAAGCATCTGAATTTTGATGATATGATCATGGGGTTGCTATAAAGGTTGTAAGTGTGAAAAATGATTATGTCACTTTTTTCAGTGCCATAACTCTGAAAGGTCACTGAATGAACTGTTGTAAGTCAAGGACTACCTGTATAATGCAGTTTCTGGCTACACATTTTAAACATTCTGGAAATTGAAAGGCTATGACCATAGTTAATTCAAGATGGGAATCAATTTTAGTGATGTTGTGGTCAATTTATAAAGGCTTTTCATACATCTCCATTTCCCCAATTGAAATTTTAGTTTCTGAGTGTTTCAGTTTTATTCAGGATCCATAGAACATATTTTTAGATAATTATATGAAAAGTGGGATAAGGATGCTAATTTAGAAATAAATGTGACTTGTCATAGGATGCCTTTTTTTTTTTGAAGTATCTTATCCCAACACTTCTGCAACCAAGAACAATCCTTAAGAAAACATCTTCAAAAACTGTTGCAGCTGCTCTGTTGAAATGGTGGAGGCATAGCCAAGGGAATAGTCAAATAAGAGACAGCATAGCCCACAGCTGGATAAAGAGCAGGGCAAGGGGCTCAGAGGAGACACTTTTAGGTAAAAAAGATAATGGGAGGAAGGGGGGAAGGAATTGTATTTATTACAATTCTTTGTAATATTGATTATGAATCCTGTCTGGTTTATCCTTCAAGGCCGAGATCTATGGAACAGCAGAAATAATATTCTGAACTTGTTGGTCGGCATAGCGTGAAAAGTCTGTCCAATTAGTCATTAAAACGTTCTTTCTTTAAATGGAATAACCATTTTCCCCTACCCTAAGTCCTTTAATAATGGACTACACCTTTTATAATTCTAGAAGTGATTGAAGTTGTAATCCCAATATAACCACCAAGACAGAAATGAATAAATGACCGTGTTTATTTTAACTGATTTTAATTCAACACAAATATATTTGAAATTTATTAGCTTTATATATAATCTTTTCACCAACAAATACCGCTTAAGATAGTTAATAATAATAATAATAGAGTAATTTAAAAAAAACAAATTATCATAAAAAATTGTTATTTTTTTTTTTAAAAAGATGACCCAACCTAGGATTCGGGCCACTTTATACACCACAGATATGCTTGAATTGGAGATGTTGTCCATAGCAGGATACCAGAGAAGTTAGCTGTACTTTCCTTAGCCAAGTGTTTCAAAGCCTGGGAGAAGGTACCAAAAAACCTTTGCTCATATTTCCATTAAACAGTGGTGAGACAAGAGAAGGATGCTTTCCATATTGTTTAGCCAGACATGTTACAATTTTTTAGATAGCCTATTCTTAGCTCATACAAACCTTTATATGGTTTCTGGATTAAACCAATCCTCTTAGTTATTTTTTGCTTTGTACAGAAGTAACTTAGGATAGCACCAAATGTGCTTATTATGGAGCTTATTGGAGCTTATTTCTGAATAATATTTTCCTGTCAGCCTAATTGAAGTTGCTGATGTGGCATGCTGAGGTGCCCAGATGCAAGGATAGTGTCAGACTATCCTCTTTCTTATTCAGTAATACTTAATATTATTTTGTTTGTTTCTTAATGGCAGGAACTTTATAGCAGTGGCAGAGATGGCAATATTCTTGCCTGGGTGCCATATTTAAAGGAACGAGAACCTGATGATACTCGTGCTGAAAAGGTAAATAACTTTAACTATAGCAAGCTAGAACTGGAGAATTTATAGATAAGGACATGAAAGGAAGAAATGCTTGTCTGCTTTTCTAGTAAGAAGCAAGGACATGTCACTGATGGAGTGATGGCTAATTATAGCTGCTTATGCCAGATTGTTGTCTCGTACTGATTTTGAGGTGTGATTGGCTTGATTCTATGGGTTCATTATATTTGTACTAAGGCAAGGGAGACAGACTCAATATTTAGAAATGTGTGTTCTTTACATTCCAGACAAGGGCATTGCTTCTATTTCTTATCCTTTCAGTATGCTGAAAAAACTAAGGTATGAGATAAAACACATACAGAATGGAAAATATTGGCTGAAGCATGACTTGTTTCTAGCTTCTTAGCTGCTGTTCTTAAGAAAAGGACTTTACTTTCAGCTAACTCAAATGAGTAGTTCCTACAATCTTGGTCATAAACCTGTCTTTATATACAATTATTTCTATAGAGCTACACAATAATATAGCAGAATTATTTCCAGTGCTGGCAGTCGTGGGAATTTATAGAGACAGAATCCATTCACAAGTTAATTTTCCATGACTGTAATCCCTTTTTTAATTATTTTTTAGTTGCCCTCTAAGCAATGCTTAAATTCTGCATATGAAGACGCATGGAGCAGCAGCGATAATGAGGCTGGATGAATTCTTACATGACTGTTAACGTAAATATGATAAATTACACCACATTTTTTTAATGAAGGACATTGACTATCAGGATCAGACACAGCTATGCCTTTCAGGTTCTTAACATTAAGATTTCATGAATACTTTTCCTTTTTCTATTTTGTCTTTGGTAAATTTTACCCAACAACATATTTGCATCTTCATTTACAGTGAAGTAAGAAGGCATTTCTTTGTGTGTGTTGCTTTCTTCTGTAAAAATACAATGGACCTGCTCATGTTTTGTTCTTCAGTAGACCTCAGTTCCATTGATACTCATTCATATGACAAAATCTTTGTCTTAGGATTTCTTATACAGAGGTGCACTGTGTATATGTACTATTTTTATGGTTGGATATATAGAATATGAATAAAAGCTGAACATCTTCGTTTAAGACAAATAATGGATATTTCAGTTAATTGTCAAATTAAGAATGACAAAAATTTATAAGAAATTTATAGAAAAATGTAACTATTTGCCTCTGTCTTAATGGCAATCCAATAAATCTGTTTGCTATTCAGTTCACATAACAGAATGTTTTTAGATAGAAAAGATTCTAGGACCTAAGCCTCTTAATCTAGTCAGATACTGTTGAAAAAAAATTGACAAAAGTGCTTTTTTTGGCACTAGTATCTGACATACAGTACATTGCACAGTTACTGACATATAATAAAGTTGTTACCATTATTTCTGTTCTCAATTGCATCAATGCAATCAATATAAAAAATTGGAATCCTAGTTGGGTATGTCTAATTTAATGACAAGAAGAACTAGGGGTGACATGATAGCAGTGTTCCAATATATCAGCTGCTGCCACAAAGAAGATAGACTCAAGCGATTCTCCAAAGCACCTGAGGGCAGGACAAGAAGCAATGGATGGAAACTGATCAAGAAAAACAACCTAGAACTAAGAAGAAATTTCCTGAGTTGAAACAATTAGTCAATGGAATGTCTTTCGTCTGGAAGTTTTTAAGAAGAGATTGGACAACCATTTGTCTGAAATGGTATAGGGTTTCGTGCCTGAACAGGAGGTTGGACTAGAAGACCTTCAAGTCCCTTCCAACTCTGTTATTCTGTTAATATATAGCTTTCCAGATGCTATTGAACTACAATTTCCAAAGACAGTAGAGTAAATATAGTAAAATACGTTTATTCAGATTTTCCTGAATGAATATCTTAGTTAACTATTGTTATCTCTTAGTTGCTTTAACAACATATTCTGTAAGTTATTTTCCTACTTTTAGACTATATGTTAGGTGCTATACATGAGGGGTCTCTAACCCCCAGGCCGCTGCCTACTACTGGGCCATGACCTTTTTGTAACTGAGCTGTGGAAGCAGCAGGCGAGCCCACACCCATCCCCCATTTGCTTGAGTAGCAGGCGAGAACTGCATGTGCAGTCCATTTGCGTGAGCAGCAGGTGCACTTGCAGTGCTTTCGCAAATGGAGCTGTGCGCCCGTGCATTACAGCTGCTTGTACAGAACCATCCCCTCTCCCCCACCAATCTGCAAAGCCAGAAAGCTTGGGGAACTCTGCTATACACTGTTCGCATGTACAGTTCCCATAGTATTTAAAAGCTTAAATGTTTCTGTCTTACAAAGTTCTCAGGGTATTGCATGTTTTAACATCAATTGGTATGTTTCAAAACAATACATGTCTCAGTAATAATTCCATGATTTCAAATTGACAGGACATGTTTTCCACCAGAAATTATATCGTGAAAAAGTGCTACTCATCACTGCCAAAAGAAAAAATGTCCTGCTGTCTGCTAGTGGGGCAAATGAGAGAGGCAGAGCTAGTATTTTCATTCATTTCCTTTACTAGAACTTGCTTACATTAAATATCTAGTACACATTTGCTTGTTGGGGAAGAGGATTCCTTATGTCAGAACTTGCAGTATGGGAGATGATCTTGACAGAGATAAGCAAGAACGTTGCCTGTAGAGTACAATAAGACTTGCAAGTTTCTATCATTACAGTCAATTTCAAGTAATTTTAGCCTTCTTGTGGATTGATTTTCTGATCTGGTTTACCTAATGAGACTGACAGAACTATAAATACAGTATATATTAAAACTAGGAAAATGGTTTATTCACATATATTTTTAACCCACAATTTAAATTGGCTTTGACAAGTATTTTAGATATGTTCCTACTGTTGGTATGAGGCTTTCATTGACATGTTTCTCCAGTGGGATACATCCCTAAAGGTGGATGAACCAACCTGATTTGGTCAACATGGAAGAGATCAGGGTACCATCAGGGCACATCTTTCTATCTCACAGTTAATCAAAACAAACACAGTGGAAACTTGTGTCAAAATTCTTTTCAAGATACTTGAAAAACTGCTTTGCAATGTTAGAAACAATAGTCTCCCAATAAAACAGCCTTATTTTCAGTTCTTTCTCTACAGGAAATCTAAGAACATGACTGTCCCTTTGAAGTAGACGAGGTCATGAAACAGACAATAGGGATTCCAGGATTGCTACTTCATTTTAATAGGGTATTAATAGCCTTATCTTGAACGCCTACCCAAGTTCCTGTTTGTCTTATCTAGTGCTAAACAAATCAAGGTGGGATTGTGATGGAGGGCCAAATCAATGTAACCTGATTTGATGTTTTCAAACTCTGTCACCTCAACTCCTCACGTTTCCCAGGAACAAACACTGCGCAGGTACAGAAAATCACTTTCCTCGCCCTCCTGCAGCCACCAGCTAACTGAAGGAGCGCACAGCAATTTCACAGAGCTCGAGCTAACTCAGCTTCTTTTCCCACCCCCTGCTGTGCAGTTATTTATATATGATTTCCAATTTACCCCAGACAGGCATAGCCAAAGGGCCAGTTGTGGCCTGGGGGCTGTAAAATGCCCAGGTGTTCTGTGGAGTATGCAAATCTTTTCTCCAAATCCAGTGTGTCCCTTGAAGTTCTTTAGAGCAGAAGTTCAATTAACAAGTGACAAAAAAGCATTCTCAGACATTATCCTGTTCAACATTTTAACTGGATCATGGGTGAGGTTATGTGTGTCATAACATCAATTGTTTTGGTTTAACATTAAACCAAACTCAAATCAGTTGTATCATGCAACTAGAGATAACAGAATTAACAGAATAATTCCTTTTCCAGCAAAATAAAATTTCAGTTAAATTCCATCAAAATGATTTTTTTTAACGAGATTTGAAATGGGCAGAAAAAGTGTGAATAGATTACCTTCCTTTTGCAATAAACAGGACTAATTAAAGCTATCTACTACTTTTTGAATTATTGATTTTGAATTTGAATACGGCTAAAGTATCTATGATCATACCATTTTATTCTTATAATGCCTTACTGGAGCAGTTATGTGAGCAGAATCTCTATCTGTGGGGAAAACTGCTTATCTATGAGAAAAATGGGGAAACTGATAAATAGGAAGCCTCTTAGGAGTAACATGAAAGGCTGGAAAACCATGTTTGACATGTAAAGGTTTCTGTCGTAGAGTTTTTCTATATGCAAAGTACATTGGAAATTGCTGATAATTTATAATCTAATCTGCAACATAGTTGAATGAAGAATTAGTTTGCAGAGAGGTGGATATGAGAAACTGCCAAAGCAAAAAATAAATCAATTTTCAAAAACAAAATAAGCATATATGAACTTGTCACACAGGAAATTTGTCCTATTTCAGGCCAAATTCACACACATTAATTTTCAAGCTGTTTACTTTGGTTTTGTGGGTAACAACAGGGAGAATGTGCACCAGTAATACGTACAAAACAGTTTGTATAAGAAAGAGGCCAAAACCAAACAGCACAGATCAACATAGTCCAGTCATGGTACAAGGCACAGGTATCGTGAAAGCTCTAGAATGGGTCCCCAATCTTGGCCACTTTATGACTTGTGGACTTCAACTCCCAGAATTCCTCAGCCAGCATGACTGGCTGAAGAATTCTGGGAGTTGAAGTCCACAAGTCAAAGTGGCCAAAGTTGGGGGCCCCACTCTAGAATATGCAGTGAATTCTCAGACTGGTGGCCATTTAAGACTGGGACGTCCATCATCTGATTCTTGGTGAAACTGCTTCAGATGGCTACTGGTAGAATCAGGTAATTAACAAGAATGGAATTACTTGTATTTATATTCATTGGAGAGGCAGGAATTACAAGAGAGTACACAAATGGCCAATGAAAGCAATGGACTGGTGCCAGCAGCCATGAGCACACTACACAAACAGCCCAATGTATTCCCCATTGTGTGCCTGCTTACTGTTTTGTAATTCCTTCCTCTAATCTGCTCTGCAAGGAGAGGGAAATGGATCAGTCACAGAAGAGATTGCTTATAGAAATCACTTGGGAATCTTGCCAGTATGGGCACTGGTATTGCATTGCTAGAAATCCTGTTAGTGTGCAGGCAGAGTTGGATGAGTTCCTGCAGTATGGCCAAGCAGACAGTTTGGGCCCATTCATTCAGTAATCATCAGTAAGTCTTCCTGGTATTTGTCAAACAGCACCACTTCATTCTAGGCCAAATCCTGAGCAAGTCTGCCATTTGGAACACCCTGAGATCAAACTGGCCCTGACCCTGATGGCCTCCTTAAATGCTGAAAAAGTGATGAGATCCAGTTTGGAGGTTGGGAGGTTAGATGGCTTGGTGAGTGGCTTCTGTTTATTGTCTTGTTGGATTCAACCTCAATGACCATTGTTTTTTTTAATTTTATCAGTCTTTTTTAAATGTGTTGTTAGCTTCCCAGGGTCACATTTGTGAGAAGGACAGCCATATAAATTGATTTAATAAGTAAATGAGCTAAAAGTCAGAAGCAAATGTATTCACCTAAAGGATGCTATCCTGAGCAGTTCTTGCATAAATCAGTTGGCAGTCTCTAGGCTTTCACCTAGTCCTCAAACATGGTTGGAACTGCCTGCTCAACTTTTTGAAATTGTCTAGCAGAGAGTTCTACTATTATACAAGAAACATGATCCAGGTGGTTGATCACAAGCCCTCTCAATTGCTAATGGGAGGTTTTCCACACAGAGACTTGTGTAGGGCTTGCATCGTGTTAAAAAGACTGGGAGTTGGACAAGAGTCCTGCAGAACATCTCTGGCACAACAATGGGACATTTCAATCCCTTTTCAGAATATGCTGTCAAGGTGTGATGGTTGCGTCTCCAGTTCATTCAGCCAGGTGGAAAGTTGTCAAAGTTATAGTTGCAGTTGCTGGTTTTACATTAGTACCTATTGCACACCACAAAGCCTCTTTTCACTGCATGTTCTTTGAAGTCTATGCTATTGCTGTTTGGGAGTACACTGTCCAGTTCCAGACATACCCATGGAATTGCATTTCAAGTGGCTAAGTTTGATTTGGCAAGCAATAACAAGGAAAGGCAAGGGTGTGCAAGCCCCTGAACACACATCAACATTGCCTACAAAAGCATGATAATTTGTCTGAGAAACAATCCTAAACTGAAGTAGCACACAGATAGCAGCTCAGTCACCAACCTAGAAGCAGATGCCATGAAAACATAGTTGGGTGATCTAAGCTCAATGAGCCAAGTGCTCACATTACATATGGGATTCAACATATGAGTGCAAGGAGTCCAGGTTGGAGCCATTATTCCCAATACAGGTAGTCCTTGACTTCCAACTATTCTTTTAGTGACTATTCAAAGTTACAATGATATTGAAATTTCATCTTTGACCGTTTTTCACATGACCGTTGCAGCAACCCTATGAAAATCCATATGCTTGGCAGCTGGCATGTATTTATAATGGTTGCGGTGTCCCATGGTCATGTGATCATCTTTTACAACCTTCTGTCAAGCAAAGGCAATGGATAAGCTACATTCAGTTAACCATGTTACTAGTTTAACTGCAGTGATTCACTTAACAACTATACCAAGAAAGATCATAAAATTGGGCAAAACTCACTTAACAACAGTCATGCTTAACAATAGAAAATTTGGACTCAATTATGGTCATAAGTCGAGGACTGCCTGTAGTGAGCTGAAGGCTGGCGTTTCTAATATAGGCTGCTGGATTCCAGTTAGTGGCATTGCTGTCTTTTTTTTTTTTTTTTTACAAAAAGTTGTACAGAGTACCTTTGCTCAAATCTTCAGAGTACACACCACTTTCTCAGATGGGTGGCCATCCAAAATCAGAAGTAGGCTCCTTTGTATCAAAATCTTTCATCTTGGAAGAGACCCCAACATTAAATTATAGCAACATCAGAAGGAGCTGCTGGAAACATTTGTGCCTGAATTTAAATTCTTTTTCCTTAAGATTTGGGTTTTTTTTTTTTCATCAGTGCAAAAAGCAGTTATCCGCTCTCTGTATTATAAGCAATTTCAATTAGCTGTTTCAAATACTGCAATTTTAATTTAATTTACTATGAATCCTCCTGCACTTTAAATAAATAAAAATTATTTAAGTAAATAAAACTGGATTTCATTCCCCCTATTTTCGAAGCACAAGAATTTATTTTCTCTTTGGGTTTATTAGCATAAGTATTAATATGAAATGTTCCTATTCTTTGTCTTGTCCTTTCATGTCTTGTTAATTATGGAGGTAAAAGAGTTATGCAATTATTCACTGCTTACTAATTTTCACACAGAAGGAATGAGGCTCAGTTCCCACCATCTCAAATTAGAGGTGGGAGTACTGCCTGAAAGGCTACTGCCAATAATTGTGTTTTCATGACATGCTTAGTCACGGTTTATTTAGCTAATATATTTTCCTCTGTTTGTATCACACACCAAATCATAAAATAATTATGTGAGGTTCACATGATATATTAGGCTAAAAATGGTTGGCTGACTTGTGCTTCAGTGTGCCATGCAAACACAAGCTCTTCTTATGTACTGGATTTTAATTCCCGTTACTAATTTCATTCCCAGCATTTATTTTATTTTATTGTGGTAAAGTAATCCACGAAAAAAGAAATGTTTGTTTATGCATTGAACCCTATAATTTACAAGCATAATCCAAAAGGAAAAAAAATATGTAGAAATTCTAAAACTTTTACTATATTATTCAAAAGACAGAAAGATAACAAAGGAATGGAAAAAACATTAGCAGGAAATAAAAATCTTGAAACTGGGAAAATTCTTGGACCTGGGAAAGAAGCAACCATAAGAAAATAGCTCAAAGTAAACCTACCTTGATTTTGTTATCTGCATGGTCAGCTCTTAAAGACTGGTTGCTCTACTTGTTATTATTAGTTTGGTCTTTATATTTAATTTTAATCCCAATTTTTCACTGTGCTCTTTGCATAGTCATCCTTTGCATTTTTGGCTGTCAAGTGTTTCTTATCAGCATAGTGCAAGGTATTGCTATTTCTTCCTTCAATTTTAGAACTACACTTATCTTCCAATCCATCCTCCCTTAATATATATTCAGCATATAGGTTGAATAAATAAAGGGATTATACAACCACGTTGCACTTCTTTTCCAATCTGGAGCTAGCCTGTTCTGCCATGTTCTGTCTGTACTGTAGCTTCTTAGCTTGTATAAAGATTTCACATAAGAACAATGTGATGTTTTGGGATTCCCAAGTTTTCTGAGCACTCCCCATAACTACATGATTGACACAATCAAAGGCATAATGAAGCACATACTGACCTATTTTTTATTTATTTATGTATTCATTTATTCATTTATTTGGAAAATTTATATTGCCGCCTATTCGCTCACAGGGAACTCAAAGTGGTTTACAGGAAATAAAAACAACATAAAAGAAATAAAAATAATAAAAAATAAAAATAATAAAATAACCCCTCATCCCTCCCATCCCAGCAACAACACACACTCATATCAGTTGTTTAATGGGCTCCATCCCACTCTGGGTTCCCCAGGCCCACTGACAGAACCATGTCTTCAAGGCCTTCCTAATATACTTAAAAAAATGAAGTATACTTAGGCTTTCTCAGTTGTGCGGCATATATCAACAATAATATCTTGAGTTCCTCAGCCTTTTCTAAAGCCAGCTTGAAGATGTGGCAACTCTTTTTCCATGTAAGGTTCTAATCGACATTGGATGATCCTAAGCATTATTTTCCTAGCATGTGAAATTAAGGAAATTGTACAATTATAAAAGGATGAGTTGGGATAAAAATGTAGGCCAAAGGGCACCATTTTGTAGAACACTGGGTATAGACAGCAGTATCTGGAAAGACTAGCAAGCTGAATGCCCACATCATGTTAAGTCCTATTTTGCTTAATTGTAGTTTACAGCAAAGGTGAACAGGGATCAAATTCACCTTGAATGTTTTGACATTCAATTATATGTTTATTTAGAATATCCACTTTGGTTTCTGCTTGACTGTCAAGATCCATCCCACTATATGCAAAATACAAATGTTTAAAGAATACTTAACCTACAAATTTGTTGTTAACATGAATGGAATAAATCCTCAGGATGTCTTCATATCAACGCTATAATTTACAGTGGTTACTCTAGTATTCATTTCACCACTATAATTTAGAATTAAGTAAAACTTAATTCTTGATGGTTCCATTCATGTAGTTTCCTTTCAGTATTGCAGAAATGCTTTGCCACTGCCTTTTTCTAGGATTTCCCCCCTCCAACTTCTTTTTTCTAAGCTTGTTCACCACATTTATTTATTTGTAAAATTTATTGGCTGCCCATCTTACCACAGGATAACTCTGGGAAGCTTACAATCTTAAAAAATAAAACTTTACAAAAGCCAAAACCCCCACCATAAATAAAATACTGTGAAGATCCAAATACTTCAATTAAAAGATGGGGAGGGTGGGAATAGGATGACAGGGCGGGAGGTGGGGTCTTGTTAATCTATCAATCATCCCAAGTAAAAGTGCTCCATTGGAAC